AAGCTACATAATAAACACTTCTCGTTTTTACTCCTTTCCTGTAGAAATCATCACTCTTTAGGCACTTGGTGATCATAGCAAAACTGTTTCACAGCCACATTTAAGAAGTTGCTAGATTTAAAGGAACTTACTGGACAATTTAAAAGTCGTGGCCTTGGCCCTGCCCCTGGCCGGTGTGGCTCTGTTGGTTGAGCATGATCTCAGCGCTGAGAGGTCACTTGTCCTATCCCAGGTTGTGGGCTCGGTACCCAGTAGGGGGTGTGCAGGAGGCAGCTGATCGATGATGTTTCTCTCTCATTGATTTTTCTGTCTCTCTGTCCCTCTCCCTTCCTCTCTCTCGAAAAATCAATAAAAATATATTTAAAATATTTTGTAGTTTGGGAGTGTTGCAAACAATAGCAAAGACTGAAGAAAAAAAGAAAAAGCCAAACATTTAAAGAGTTTAAAGGAAAAAAACTAATGGGGAGGAAATAAGTTTATATTTTGTAAAATGCGAACCATTAAATTCTGAGAAAAGAATTTCACACACTAAAATGGAAAAATAAAACTTTAAAGATATCCAACTGTGATAGACAAGCTGGAGAATATGTTAATAAGATGACAGGCAAAATGAATGAATAAATGGATGAATGGATATCACAAAGCTACACTGGTCACAGTCCCTGCCCTTGAGGACATCACCATCTAGTGGGGGAGACAGAAATGTGGATAAACTGTAATCAAGGTGCTAAGCTTTAGAACAGATACATAGCAAAAAGCTAAGGGGGTCCACAGTGACTAATTTTCCTGGGGATATCAGGCCCTCCGCCAAGGAGGTGATATTGGAGCTGAGTTTTGAACGATTTCTAAAGGTAGAGAAGAGGCACATAGCAGTCGCTCTGCTCTGAGTTGTCTGTGTTTGTGTGCCCGGTGAGGTAGTAAGTCTCTGGTGGGCTAGTCCCTCTCACCTCACTGCACTCACCACAGGGCCTTGACTGCAATAAAACAGATGCATCTACCCTCCGTGTATGTTTGTCAAGTAAAACTAGTTGTTTATAGACCTTGCTTCCGCTCACGTTTCAATACCATGAGCCGCAGCACAGGTACANTGCTTCCGCTCACGTTTCAATACCATGAGCCGCAGCACAGGTGGTATGCAAGGCTTCTGTGTCCCTCTGCTGTCCTTTTTACTTAGACATGCTCAGTGCCCTCAAGTTCACTGCCCACCCAGGCCTCTTACTCAGGTGCCTACCTAGGCCACTCCTTTTGAGCAACTCCAACTCCCAGACCTTTTCTTTCCCAAAACCTACGCATTCCTGAGATGGACTTTAGTGTTCCGTTTCTTCGTTTTTAGATCAAGACACCGAGGCCCAGGAAGGTGACATGAATTGCCCAAGTTCATGTGACTGTATTAGCCGCCTTGCTGAGACAGACCTTAGGTCTCCTGCCTCCATGTCCGTTGCTCTCTTTCACACTCTGCTGTCCATCCTGGATCTCAACACCTTCAGCCTCAGGGTCAAGACTGGCCAGGACCTGCTGCTAATCATGCTGAGTAAGCATCTTTCTCTTACCAGCAGTGATCTGTGCTCTAACTCCTAGGGGTGGACACTGGAGAGAGTTCACACTAGTACCCTCCTGGGATGACGTTGGTCACATCACTTTTCTTAGCTCCCGAACTCACACCTGGGAGAGAGACCCAGTCTAGCTGGGCTATGTGAAGCCTGTGCCTTTTCTGCAGTGTGCTTTCTTAGGACTGTGCAGCTAGCCACATTTACTGTCTAACACGATCCTCCCACACTCCCCCGAAACCATGGCAGCAGGACTCCACTCATCCCCCCCACAGCTTTACAACTTCCTGGGGGAAGAGTTCAGTTCATGAATGTGTCGTAATTTCTGTGAAGGGCATCTAAAGTCCTTAAACACATCCATGAATGGGCCTTTTCAATACCACTTGGACGGAAGTCAGGAACTTCACCATTGAAACTTAGCGGTAATGAAATTCAGTGGCCCTTGCACAAGAGATATATGAATGCCTCGGGGCAGAACAAAGGCCAGTGGAATCGGCGGAGAGCAGTTACTTCTACAAAATGCATTTACCTGAATAGGAACTTGAGTGGTTTCCAAGCACTGACACTGTATGCTTCCAAAAGGTGTCATGTGTCCTTCCTTCACTCTGTACGGCTAAGAGTCTAAATTTCAGTTTTATTGTTTTGATATTGGAGTCACATTTGGGGGTTTTAATCATCAGCACGGGGTGATCTGAGGAAGCACTGCATTATTTTTTCAGATGGACAATGGAAACACACTGAGAGCTTGCTTTTTCTGCAAGCTTTGAATATAGAATTACAGGTCTCCGATGGGTAAGGAACCCCCAGCACATCTAATCCAGCCACATATTTGATGGGTGGAGAACTGATCCCTGTTAACCTGATAACATAGGAATTATTGATCCTATTTTGTGAAATTCATCCTACTCTAGGAAACAGGAATTAATGGAGGAGGAACCTGGGCACTAAATTGTAGTTGTTGTATTACTAGGACTGCGTGGACACAGCCCCGAAAGAAATCAATATCCTAGACTTCATCTGTGTGCCTTCAACTTATTTCCATCCCTAAAGACGACCACTTTAGGTTTCTTTTGGGAAGCATAAGAGTGTCTACGGTGCTTTGTGTTAACATTAAAATAATTCCTTATTTGTTTTTTTTACTCTTTAGAAAAAATCATTTAAATGAACTTTCGAGAGTCTTCTCCAAGACGCTTAAATTTTTTTTCATTGAAAAGTTGGGGTGAGACACACTTTCTAGAGGACACCGTGACTGTCCTAGGGGACAATGGACAGACAAGTACTTTAAAAAAACATAAAAGTGCGCTGTAAAGAAGTGGGTCGTTCTGTCTGTTTACTCTATGTACACATTCTGTTCCATTTATTCCTTCGGTAAATATTTATTAAGCACTGTGTGCCCGGTCCCTTGCTGGAGACTGTGGACATAAAGCGGCGTTAAGCGCGGCCCCGACCTGCTGCAGTTCACGGCCGAGGCCGAGGCCGCTGCCCCCGGTCCCCGCGGCCGCCCCACCCCCACCCGGGCACAGCAAAACCCCAAAAAAACACACGAGGCAAGGTTCCCTGTTATGCAGTTTGTACGTCTTTCCTTCCTTAGCGTGATCGGTTAGACCGTGTTTTTCATTTCACTCGAACAGCCGAGTAATTCACTGCTGACTCCCCCTGCCAGCTGCTGGAATTTCAGCTCCTGGGAACAAGCCCCGAGTCCCGTTTGCGCTCCGCTTTGTGCTCCACGCCTCGCGCGTCCGGAACGGAGCGGCCGGCCACGCGGACCTGCCGAATGGGTGGGTCGGTGGGTGAAC